CCCAGACATGCTTTGATCTCATAATTAGGGTGAATCAGCAAATTCAGGGAAGGAATCTTGCCTACGACTGAACGAAGTGTAAGTTTTTGGCTTTGAGGTTTCACCTCCTGATTCTTTAACCAACTCACTTCCATTTGGTAACCAAATCAATTGGTCRGATAAAACTAKAGAAAAATAAAAGAAAGAAAACAACKYCATTCCAGGAACACCTTTCATAAGAGATCGAGCTAACAATAAGAAATCTTCCAATGCTAACCCGAAGAATGTATATTACCTTTTGTACGCTWAGTTGATTCAACTTCTGAAAATTTCGCATGGAGCTTGAAAACAATGGTGTTKTTTTCATTTGGCTGATCATTTTCTATGACACYGAGATAACGAATTAAACTAACACATAGATATAGTTGCTTATGGAGATGGATCAAATGCCGCTAAATATTTTCTTACCGGATAAATACTCAAAGAGCCTTGGATCTGCGGCAATTGGAATAAGACCGATCCTCTGAGCAAGAACATCGTCTTGAACAACCGACGTGTTGTTTGCTATTAACACTTTTTCAAAAGCCATTGTAGTTATATTATGTGTTCTTAGCTTAATAATTTATAAAGTGTGTTTAGAATTTTTACAGAGTATTTCTTAAAACTTTTGAATTTATTGATTTTTCAAAATATAAATGCAAGATTTTGAAATTATACCTTTTTTATTTTTATGGGATACAAAATAAGACTTGAAGARTTTTTTTAAAAGATTACAAAGAAATTTAGAGAGATTGTAGAGAGAGGTTGTGAAGATTGCTCGTGTCCTGCTTCTGAACTCGAGAGTGGGTATTTATAGTAGAGTAGGCGAATCTTGAATTATTGCTTCAATGACTTTTGCGTATTACCTTTATTTCGTGCTTARTTCTGATTGGTTTGCTGTTTGTCTTTAGCCGAAAGTTGATAAGGTGAGTCAGAGTTGTCTGTCTCTTTTTGCTGTAAGGCTGCGATTGGTGCCGACATCGCAGCTGGGTCTTTTAGTGGGTCTTGAGGTGGGTCCCGCCTGTCGGGTGACACTGTCTTCTAGAAAGTGGGGCCCGCCTGTTTAAAT